GGCTCGATCCCAGGACCCTGGGATCATGACCTGAGCTGAAGGCAGACGCTTAACGACTGAGCCACCCAGGTGCCCCAAGTCTGTGATTTCTTATGAATTTATATCTTAAGCCATAGCTAATTCCATGTGTTTTGATATTGTTTTGATGAAATGTAGGGATATAATTTATCTGTTCTATCATTGAAGTCAACAAAAGGAAAACCTCCCACTTTATATGACTCTATACAGTGCTTAGCAGAAGACTTATAGAAGATTCCTCCCCACACACAGTGCTGGTCAGTTGTAAGGGTCTGGAGTCAGAAGAGGTCTGGGTTTGAGGTCTAGTTCTGCCACTTACTGACTTGGTGCCATTGGGAAAGCTGCTTAGCTTCTCTGTACACCAGCGCTCTCCATCTGTAAGAGGACGATAATAGTACCAGCATTACCTCAGAGGGTTATTAAGGTAATGTATAATGAATCACTGTCTAAACCATGAAGCTCAATAGAAATATGAACTACTAATGTTATTAGTGTTCTTTGAAAGTATATATCCCATCACTGCAGATATGTTCAGATTCACATTTATGTCCTTAACCATTCTGTAGGTCGTTTAGTATCTCAAGTGATTTTGTTATTTTTTTCTTCCCATAGAGCGTATCATGTCCCGAGTGGGAAAATATTAGCTGTGAAGGTAAGTGCTGGATAAATTTTATGAAGTTCCTGAAGTTCTTGATGCTCACTACTTTCTCTTCCCCTGTTAGCTTGAGTCAGAGGTATCGTGAAAGAGGAGATAAAATAGTTTAAGTTTTGGATGGTAGGTTATGGAAGCTATGGTCCTGTTGTGATATTCAGCCCCTCCTCTCTCAGAGGGTACCTTCACCACCTCAAGCACTGCTTTCCTATCTATTATTTGTTCCTTTAGATATCATAACTCTTAGATTGTTGCCGGTAATAGATTTAAAGAAAGTCAACTTCAGGTTATTCACTTGTAGAGAAGGGAGCATGCCTATAAATAATCTAAAAAACGTAACTATTTGGCCTTGCAAGTGCATTATAATTTCTCATAATTTCATACATTTTGAATTATGTTTAACCTAGGCTAATATTAAAATTCTTGTGCATGATTATTTAGTTGGGTATGGCAAGGTGCTACCAGCTATTTCTAGATACGATTAAAAGCAATTTTTAAGAAAGGACACATTTAAAAAAAAGCTGTTAGAGACTTTGAATAAATGAAAACAGTAGGTGTTTACAAATATACTTTGTACTAAGACCTGACCATAAAACTGAGCTTTAGAACGAGGACTATACTGTAATCACTTTATATCCCTAGATTCTATAAAATTTGTAAGACATACTAGATGCTTAAACTGAGTTGAATGAATGATTTAAGAGTAGGTATGATTGTTGTGTTTAAATTTCATCTGAGTTAAATGAATGAATGATTTAAGAGTAGATACAATTAGCGGTGCCTAGGTGGCTCAGTTGGTTAAGCATCTGACTCTTGGTTTTGGCTCATGTCTTGAGATCAAACCCCGCATCAGGCTCCACGCTCCACATGGAGTCTGCTTGAGATTCTCTCCCTCTCCCTCTGCCCCTCCTGCTCGTGCTCTTTCTCTTTCTCTCTCTAAAATGAATGAATAAATCTTAAAAAAATAAAAATAAATTTCTTGTTTAGCCCTGAGCTTCTTAGCAGCCAAGGCAAAAACCATGTAACTTATTTAATAATCATGCTCTGAGAGAAAGAAATGGCACATTTCTTCAAAACAGGCTGTTGTTTTTTTTTTAATTAAATCTTAAAGTGGGGTGCCTCGGTGACTCAGATGGTTAACCATCTGCCTTCAGCTCAGGTCATGATCCCAGGCTCCTGGGATCGAGTCCCACATCAGGCTCCCTGCTCAGCAGGGAGCCGCCTTCTCCCTCTCCTGCTCCCCCTGCTTGTGCTCTCTCTCTCTCTCTCTGTCAAATAAATAAATAAAATCTTTTAAAAAATAAAAATAAAAATCTTAAAGTGTGTTATTTAGTTTCCAAATATTTGGAGATTTTCCAGATATCTTTTCATTATTGATTTCTAATTTAAGTCTGTTGTGGTCAGAGAACATACTTTGTATAATTGGAATTATTTTAAATGTATTGAGATTTGTTTTATGGCCCAAAACATTAATTATTTTGGTGTTTCCTGTGCACGTGAAAAAAATGTTGTATAGGGTGTTGTATAAGTGTCAATTAGATCAAGCTGACTGACAGTGTTCAAAATTTCTGTATATTTACTGTTTTTTATCTGCTTGTTCAGTCAACTATTGAAAGATGGGTGTTGAAATCTTCAGCAATAATTGTGGGTTTGTCTATTTTTTTTCCTTGCAGTTCTATCATTTTTTTCTTCATGTTTTTTGAAGATCTATTAGATGTATTTAGGATTATTATGTCTTCTTGATGAATTGGCACCTTTATTGTTTCATTACAAAAGTGACCCTTCTTTAACCATGGTAATATTCTTTGCTCTGAAATCTACATTGTCTGATATTAATATAGACAGCTACTGGAGCTTATGTTAACATGATAGAGCCTTTTACTTTTAACCTGTTGTGTCTTTTTATTTGAGATAAATTTCTTGTAGCCAGAATGCAGTTGGGTCTTGTATTTTAATCCATTCTAATAATTTCTGCTTTTTAATTGGGGCATTTAGACCATTAACATTTCATGTGATTATTGCTGTGGCTGGATTCAGTTCTGTCATCTTGCTCTTTATTTTCTATTCTGTCTTTATGTCCTTTTTCTTGAGTGGTTGCTTCAGAGTTTATAGTATATATCTTTAATTTATCATAGTCTACCTTCAAGTAATATTGTACCAGTATCTATAGTATGAGAACTTTGTAACAGTATACTTTTCATTTCCCTCATCCTCAACCTGTTTGTTTTTATCATACATTTTAGTTTCTCATATGTTATGAACCCCAAAATGCATTGTTATTATTTTTTATTTAGACAATTATTTGTCTTTTAAAGACATTTCAAAAGTAAGTTAAGATTTCTTTTATATTTACTCTTGTTTTTACCAACCCCAGTGCTCTTCATTCAATTGTGTAGATTGAGACTTTCATCTGGTACCACTTTTCTTTTGCCTGAAGGACTCTCTTCTTTTACATTTCTTATAGCTCATGAGTCTTCTGGTAATGAATTCTTTTAGCTTTTGCATGTCTGAAAAATGTATATTTGATCTTTCATTTTTGGAAGATGTTTTCACCAGATAGAGAATTCTAGGTTGATCACCCTTTTCTTTCAGCATTTGAAAGATTTTGTTTCACAGTTTTCTGGTTTGTGTTCTTTCCAATGAAAAGCTTACTGTCATTTTAAATCTTTATTATTTTGCACATTAGAACTGACTTCTCTGGCTGCTTTTAGGATTTTTTTTTATCACTAGTCTTACGCAGTTTGATGATAATGAGCTTTTATGTAATTTTCTTCTTGATTCATACACTTAGGATTTGTTGAGATTCTTGGCTCTGTGGATTTTTAGCTTTCATCCAAATTTGGGAAAATTTTAGCCATTATCTCCTTCCTCCCCCAACTTCCGAACTTAAATTGCATATGTATTAGGTTACTTGAAGTTGTCCTGCAGCAGAATGATGCTCTGTTGTTTGCTTTAGTCTTTTTTTCTCTCTAATGGTTCATTTTTGGGTAGTTTCTATTGTCAAATACTCAAGTTTTCATCTGCATTGTTTAATCTATTAATTTCGTCCATTGTATTTTTCATTTCAGACACTGAACTTTTTGTCCCTAGAAGTTTATATGGGTCTTTTTTACATCTTCCATGTCTTTACTTAACATGCTCAATTTTGCTTTTATCTTCCTGAATATATGTAATGTAGTTATGGGATATGTGGAATATAATTAACTGAATTCATGGTTTTGTTTATTAATTCCATCATATGCGTCATTTGGAGTCAGTTTTGACTGATTGCTTTTTCTCCTCATTTTGGGTTATATTTTCTTATTTTTTTTAAAGATTTATTTTTATTTAAGAGAGAAAGAGAGTGAGCAAGTTGGGGAAGGGGAAGAGGGAGAAAGAGAATCCCTTTGGTCTTCTGCCAGGGAGCTCTTGCTGCCTTGGCTTCCTCAGACCCCCAGTTCCATCTCCTCAACATAGGGAGATGGCTGAGCTTTGCCTGGAATTCCCACCCTGTCCAGGAGCCTGCACACTCTCTAGTCAGTAAGCTAGACAAATCATAGGGCTCCTCTTATTTGTTTTCCATCTCTCAAGGATCATTATCCTGTTTTAACTGTTGTCAAGGTCTGGACACCTGTTAATTTTTCTGGGTTTGGTTTGGTTTTATTTTGGATCTATTCCTTTCTTGTCACCTCTCCAGTCCAGATGCTTGTTTTGTCTCTTGTCAGACTTTGAACAGAGTTTAAAGTGTTCTCTCAGAAACGGAAGTTGCTATTTATTGATCATTTATACTGTGCTAATAAGCACTCTACGTACCCTCTCCTCATTTAATTGTGAGTTAATTAATAAATAGCTTGCTGAAGGTCTCACAACTAATAGAACTAGGATTTGAAGTCAGGAAAGTCTTGCCCCAAGTTCATGCTCTCAACCTGTGTACTATATTGCTGCTCACTGTCCTTAGATTTGGCTTCCTAAAGCATAGTTCTGGTCACATCTCTTCCCTTTTAAAAATCTTCAAAGGCTCTATATTACTCCCAACTAAACTAAAAACTCTATAGGATGAAACTCAAGATCTTGCACAGTATGTCATCAGCCTACTTTTTATAGCATTATCTTATGTGTCTGAATGCCGTGCTTCTTTTAAGTTGAACTCTTTGCTTTATCTGAACCCAGGTACTTTCACACTTCAACACTGATTCACATATTTTTCTCTAATTAGAATGCCTTCACCCATGTCTCTACCTATCAAAATTCTTAACACCCTTCAAGGGTCAGCTCCAAAGCCCACTCCTCTATTGAACTTACGTAGATAAATCCTGTCACATATGGTCTATCACTCACTCACTTTCTCCTTTGAACCTCTCTAGAATTCTCTGTGTTTCTTACGGATGTTATCACATACTGCCTTGTATTTTGCTATTAATATACATGTGCATTTCTCTCCTTACATTCAAATCTCTTTGTAAGTAGAGAACAGATCTTATTTATCTTCTTGTCTTACTCATTGAATCATGCAGAACCTTGCATTTGGGCTTAGAGGATTGCATGTAATAACTAGATGTTCAACACATAATTTGTTGAATGACTAAATAAATAAATTTGGTTCTTTCGTTTGTTCTTCATTCATTCATCTTTTGAAGCAGCATCTTGAAAGCAGGTTCAGCTCACATACAAAAGAAACCATAGTGTTCTTTGTATGGACCATTGCTCTCACCCAGAGTAGTTCTTAGCTTTTTTTTTTTTTTATATTAAAGGGTGAAATGAAAGGTTAAGAGTTAGAAGTGCATTTGATCTTTTCCTGACCCTCTCCTGACTTTTGTGTGACTTCAAGCATGTCACTTGAACCTCTCCGTGACCTCAGCTGTGAAACGGGGCTACCTCATGTCACAGAGGGATTGTGAAGAGCAGCAAATCACAGTCCTTGTCTAAACAGAATCACCTGCAGGGCTCTGACGCCTGCATAGAATGATGAGGGAAATTTAATTTTCCAAGCCAAGTGGTCAGTTGGACCAACACTTTGAATG